AGTCCGGGAACTTTCCGGACAAACTGTGTATGATTGGTGTTACAAGTCCTTCAGATACCTGACGCGCAAAAGGTATAGCAAACAAAAACCAAACCGCCACTTTATTTTTTATACGAGTCTTTATATCGATGTGTACACCAATGTACGACGAATATAGACGAATATAAACATTGTTTTCTTGCTTTAAGAACATACTGAGTTATTTTGCTAAAAATAATTGTTGTCAATTTAAAAATTTGCGAAGATTATTTTACATCTATACAGTTAATATGATTTTTATATTTTATTACTAAAAACCGTTCAATTGCCAGTGTAATTGAAATAAGTACATGTAAAAAAAAGTTGATCTTGTGCGCAACTTGTAAACATCGTATAAAAATAAATTACGTTCTATCAACTGTATGAAATGTGGGATATTATTTCGTTTCAATATTAAACAAAATACCAAAACAATGTCTCACAACATATTTGAGAAAAATAGATACAGTCTTTATTGTAGTTTTCAACTTCGAATGTTTTTACATTTCAGTCGGTATAACAATATCTGATAAAAAAATTTGTCGAAAACATTTGTCGTCAAAAAGGCAGCGTGGAATTGACAGCAAATACGTACATATACTGTCAATTTTCCAGTAGTCTACATCTGTTGGGCATACCAGTCGAATTTGCTCTAAGAATATCGCTTTAAAAAATGATTCATTAAAAAGCTGCTCTCTCTCTCCCACTTTATCACTTATTAATGAAATTGAATGTTGATTTTTAAAAACATGATTTTAAAAAAATACAACAACAAAAGCTAAAAAATAAATATACAAAAGCTAAAAAATAAATTACTTAAAATAAAATAAAATAAATTAATTAAAATGGGCACCTACCACAGAGATATCGAAAAGTATAGCATGTTTTTACGGCAAGACCCGTTGCAGTCGAAAACGCTATAATAAATTTAATAAGCAACTTTGAAATAGACTTTTTTGGTTTTTGAGCAGAAAGAGAGAGACAATCATAGTGTAATATATAAGCTGAATCTTTCTTGGAGCTTAGGAGCGGGGAAAATCGTGATCCTTCAACATATGTGCGTTTCCTCTATTTCTCTCAGCCGGAGTTTTCAGACGATACTTATTTGTACCATACCCATTATCCGTTTACGACATAAAGGACAGACATTGTTAACCATTTTTGAACAGCTGTTACAACATACCACGTGACCGCACGTTAAGAACAAAATGTTTCGCTTCTGCACAAAGCAGATTTTACATTGCAGCGTGTCTTCAACAAGTTCTTCCTCTCTCTCTTCTTGATTGTTCTTGTCTTTCAAACCTTCCCGATTTTTTCCTATTTGTTCTTTCGCTTCAGCCATTAAAAATTCTTCTCGAAGTTGTAGCACTCTGGAAGCCCTTCGTATGTTATCTACGTTATCTTCGTCGTATCCCTCACTAACCACAAAAGGTATAGGGTCATTAGATGATAAATGACTTGCTGCCCCAAGTTCGAGTGTTTGTTCCGTTACCTAAAACAAGTAAGAAAATATAAACAAATGTATAACATTATCATAGAAATACGTTACACATGGTTCAAATATGTGCATGATGTCATACGTCTATGCCTTCTGGTGAATTGACAGATAACACATAGTCGTGTCCTTTAATAGAAAGAACGTAGAAGCATTCTGGCATCCATTTGGCATGTGCTTCCCATGGTATATCATTGTCCTCCCAATTTCTCAGAGCCACGCCGCAGTAAAAGCACAAGACGTGATCCTCACGTCCTACGTGATAAAATCCAGCTTCAGCTAATTCGGTGGGAGTTTGTGTCTTCGTGGAAGGCCATGTGTCAAATGTTGCGAGACGTTTTCGATAGTTACAATATTCGGGATGTTTGGCTCTGTGTAACAAGTGCGGGAAGTATTCTACTTCTTGTAACGAACTCATCTCGGTTACTGATCTCGGTCTGGGATTGACAACGAGCGGTACGTTACCGCAAGGAAGTTTGCGAACAAATCTACATTGCGGTGAAAATTTCCGATGATCTGCCATTGGATCATCCCCTTCTTGCCAATTGTTCAGTTGAACGTGGCAGTCAAAACATTCAACGGTATCACCTTGACCAGCAAAGTAGAAACCAGCAGCCGCAAGTCTTTCAGTTAACGCGACCGATGAGGGCAACCAATTCTTGAAAGTGTCGTATCTGTTGATTTCATGTCGCAAATCAGGAAACTCTACTTCGTCTACATCATCTAATTCGTTCAAGACTATTCTGGATCTTTTCATGTTCCGCAGCAGACGTTGTGCGTATAAAAAATCCGTAACAACCATATTCATCTGGATGATTGTATGTATACAGATACGCTATATATATATATGTACAAGGTACGTTGCTTCGGTAAAGCCTGTGTAATTAAAAGGTAAGATAATTTCCAGCCACACATAGATACCACATATGTATATAGGATACGTATAATATTTATAAATCGTGTAAATTTTAATTTGTTTGTGTTTTGTTTAAATCGACGTAACGCGAGAATGCGTTTATAAAAAAAAAAAAACAAAAATAGAACGTACATACCTTCTCTTTTTTTTTTTACAACACCGTCGATCTCAAAGAGACGATGCGAGACGAGAGATTTAAGTAGCACGAAGTGGAATAAATGTGTTACAAAGTATGTAAACAAATGAATCACACATATAACGTCGTTTTTGTTTTACTACGCACATAATTGTAAAAACATATGAAATGAATGAATGAAAGTCTGGTTTATTGTAAGACTGGTCCACTGGTGTGACTACTCCCTGAGCAGTAACGGACACAGTGAGGCAGGCACAGTGTGCTCCGTAAGAGTAGAGCCTTAACTGCGACCTATGCTCAGGAAAGAGCTGTCAGATCGAGGGACGCACTACCACAGACGCGCCTATAATATTCGAAAATATATCGGCGCTAGCGATTGTGACCACGCACACACATACACGATACAGTCAATCGAGCTAGCGCCAAGCTGGCGCCGGTTCATACCACACTATGTATTTCTATACTGATTCATCGCTGACCCCTCGATATAGCAGCGCTAGTTCAAAGTCCACATGCTCTTTGCTATAGTATATGCATGTAATGGTTGCTACGGTAAATTTTTCTAAAAAATTCATTAAAAAATTCAAAAAAACATTTGCATTTATAAGTACGTCACGAGAAAAAAACTCGCGTGACAAGACAAAACTAAATTTTTTGCACTGATAAGAGAGATCAAAAATTTTTTCCCATGTACACAGTCGAATCTCTTTATGTCGGATTGAAATCCGGACTTTCTCTTTATTCTTGCTAATCAGCGACAATAGGAAACGACAATATCATAAAGAACATTTTAATCATACAAAGAAAATAAGAATAGAAAGGTTTGATTAGATATTTTTTGAAAAAAAAAAAAAAAGGTTTGAAGATACTTATGCCTTTTTTGCTTCATTTTTTCATTTCTAGATAAGTTTTCGATAATTTTACTTAAAAGACAAAATATATTTTTTTATATATCTTTATCTATATAGAGGATAGCTATCGGAAAATATGAAAAAATCGGCAGTTTATCCTGTAATTTACGATCCTTCGTTGCCGTTTTGTTGCACAGATAGTTTTCGATAAATTATAATACAGAAGTTAAGAATTGCAAAATGAATCCGTGTTCGTTCGAGTTATACTGAATTATGATGTTAAGAGCAAGAAATTATATATTTAAGTAAAACTTTTTGAAGTATAAATTTTGTGAGAGTGTATTCTCTTCTCAATATAAAAATATTTAAAAATTTAAAAATTTTATAATTTAATTTTAATGAGATATCTCTTGTGTAGAACCGTAGGGCACCGATAAATTTAGTTACATTTCTGAAGGTTTATATTATAGCAAATTCTTTGTGTATAGTATCAATGAACCTAGCTAACATCTCTGGTGATCCCCACTACCGCAAATTCCTTTAATCCCCCTTTCCGGTGTTCCTTTGTAAGAAGCAGTTGCATAGTGTCTATAGTGGAACAGTCTCTCACGGAGTCTTTGTCATGAAAAGAGAACAAGATATGTTCATTCTGACGCATAACCGACATAGCTGGAATACTACGAAATGTTGAGTTTAGACAGAAATTGTTCAAATCTTAAACTGATGGTTTATAAAATTTAATGTTTGATTTATAAAATTTAATGTTTATAAAATATATAACTACAATAGAAATAACAATAGAGTGTAATTATAAAAATTATAAATTTTGTGAGAATTAATCTCATGTTCTATAAACATCCAAAAACATTTTAATATGATGGTAATTTTGTTTATGCACTCTTGTGTATACGTATATAATACGTATGTAATATATATATGTAAATGAGTAAAAAGATAATAATTGTTCGATAATATTTATATTATTACCTATCACAAACATAAGTAATAACTCTTTGTAATCGTAAGTATAAAATATGTAAAAACACATGAAAAATAAACGTAAAAAATAAAAACGTAAGAACATATAAATACAAATATATTTATTTTGTATCTATTTTCGATATTTAAACTTTGAAGTTAATGTAACGCTAGAAAAACAATAGAAAAAATATCAATAGAAATTTGTCATATTTTGACATCTTCTATTATCATATTTTTCGTAATTTTGTTAAAGCTAAATTTATTTTCATGACTTCTAATAGAAAAAGTTTTTTTGCATTGTGTATATAATTTACATAGTTTCTTTAGTTATATCCAGCGGTGGATAAAGCAAAATAATACACGGAATCTTTCGCTAAAGCGACTGAATGTGATTGTGAGTATCTACAGATGACGCTTGCTGTTCGTTAAAATGTGCAGGGAGAAGCCTGATGGACCCATTGCATTTCCGTTCACAAGCGCTGCAATGTCTACATAGATTTTGTGCAACGTAAACTACACGAATCAACTCAGCGAATAAAAACGTTTGATTTGTTCATATCTATGCTATGTTTGCGATTGATTTGGTTCTGCTCCACGATATGCGCACGATTTATTTATATACTCCAATGGCACTTGCGAAGTTATATTACAGAATTGTTATATTTATTTTTTCTTAAAAAAAAAATACCTATGTAATATAGAGAGAATAAAGTAATTTATTTACATGACGTATTTGTTATGTTTTTCTCATATTATATATACATAAACATTATTTTGTAGTTCTTTCTGGGTTTTGGATTGTATTTTCAACGATGCTTAAGAACAAATGATTAATTAATGTAACAAGCCGAGCAGATATAAATGAATCGAATACAGAACACGCTTAGAGAAACACTAAATAAAACAACAATCACACAAAGTAATATCAAAAATCAAATTATATGTAAATGTATTTGACACATTTAAAGGGTAAAAAACTCGCAGAATGTGTGAAGAACACATCACTTTGTGATACAAATGTGAATTAATTTGTAAAAAAAATTGTTTTAGAGCAACTTTAATTCAAATTGCAATTTGCTGAGCGAAATGATACGTTTCGGAAATTGTCTCGCGAATCTCTCAGGCCACGCCTTTCTTCGATGCATATCAAATCTCGAGCTTTCGGCAGCGTGGGGTTGTCGACGAAGTGGCATATAGTGTCCCTGCACTTTCTCCCGCCATTTATAAAGTTCAGCTCGTATCTGCTGTTCGTTCAGTTCTTTCTGTCTTCAATACGTGTCTGGACACCAGTTGGCAATTGTCGCTACCGTGCTTTATTCTCTATTTTAAATAGGCCCGCATGACTTAAGGTTGTATTCAGGGTAAGATCTCAGTCAAAAGTTTAAGAAACATAGCGTAAACCGAACCTATTTTAATATTTAGATAATAATTGTTTGCTGGAATAGTATTATTTGTACTAAAATAAGTTACAAAAACTATTTATTATACTTTTAATAACTACGGACAAGTTTTTACGTATATTTTGTGCCCTTTTGATGTTCACTTTTGATATTTTTGAGTAGAATTATACCCTACGTGCAATGTAAGATAAATGAAAAACTGGAAATATATTAATCATAAAAGGTTATTAAAACGTAACAAATAATGTATAAAATTACAAATATTAATGTTTTATGTATATTAAATATATNTCCCATAAGAACTCGTGTTAAATTAAAATCGTACTAACTTTTTAACAAGGCTCGCAAAGAAGCTGAAATTTTGCATAATTTCTTTTTTTAATATTATCTACTGACTGGCAAATTTCGAATAATCTGGCATATCTTTTATCTTACCCTGAATACAACCTTAATCGCGTATCAACCTACCTGCCTACTCGGTAAAACACCGTTTCAAGTTTCGAGTTAAGCGAGACGCTCGACATACTCCTTACGTCAATTAGGGGTTGAAACACAGAACTTCGGTAAGTTACATGTAATTTCTATGTACAAGTAATCGATATTAGAGCAGATTGAATTATTAGACCGAACTTTAAATATGCTTCCTAAATTTTTCATTTTTTTAAGCTGTCGCGCTAAATCCAAAATAAAAATTTCAAATTCTTACGAGAAATAGTTTTTTTCTTCTGTCAAAGTTTCAAAATCTCACAAGCAAAAGTGATTTGTTTTTTTTTTTTTTTTTTTTATAATTTCGGTTTTATACGGTTTATTTGTTTAAGAATAGAACGAGGAGTTAAATCTCTTCTCGGTGAAACATACGTGTGTGTACAAAACAAAGCAACACTTGTTACATTGCGCATTTTTTAAATGTCTCATTTATGGTTGCCGAACCTTGAAAATGTCCATATGCATACACTCTAGTTCCTTGATAGACAATTTAATTGCTAATTTCTGGTCAATAAATATGGAAATCGAAGTCCAAATCGATACTTTTAATTGTTCGTCAGAATCCGCATTGCGTTCAAATGTCGCGTATGAATGTCGTGATTAATCGAGGAAAAGGAAGTCGCGATTTTGTCCTTAATGTGTGCTTCTTAGTTATCTCAATATTCTTTTGTGTCAGAAAGAATTTCACTTTTGCACAAACATGTACCGCGCATAATTGTTTATATAATATACAAAATGCAAGTACAGACTACGCAGTTTCTTTTAATTAAATGAATAATTTATGAGAAATACATTTGCAAGACCAAAATAATCATGTTTCAGTATATTCATTTGTCTATTAACGTTAATTTTATATAAATTTTATGCTTTTATAGTTAATTAGTTTTGGCAAAATAAATTTCTAACTAACAGCGCAGCGCAAGCGTACGATTCATAACATTACCTTAAACGCTAATTACCAATCCAAGTTTCTTCACGGTTTCTCGCAGGTACATATATTCGCAAGTTCTCTCATGCGTACGAGCACAACCGAATTGCTTATCTGAAATTCACGCCATTAATCACGCGGCTGCAACAAATAAATATAAATTTTCCTGAAAAACTGTCATATCTTATCATGTTTGTTTATTCAGATGTACGTAAGCAAAAACACTATTGTTGTGAATTATTTAAAACAGGAATTGATATATAAGGATGTTACAATTGATTAAATTACTTGTCGATAGCGCGAATACATCTTGAAATTTCTCATTATGCAACTACGTCATAGATGTAGTTAAGTACAGAAGTGTTTCAAAATTACCAAAGATATTTATTTCACTTTTTTATCACGCGTTTGAAATTTATATATCATCCTCGTTTGATGTTGAATTTCTAGTTGAATAAATTAAGAAACAATTTTCGCTCTTCGAAAGATTTAACACGTGCGAAAGAAACGATACTTGATCATCATGCGAAACACATACTTTTTATTGTTGCGCTACGAAAAAAAAAATCAGACCGCACATTGACAGCATTGTCTCTTGCAACCGGTAGTAAAATCGGACGACCTTCACCCAACACGTAGATGCGAGCGTAAGATACAAATCGCCGAGCTAAATTGTGCAAGCCGATCTGTTGCCAATAATGGAAAAAGTCGGGGCGCAAATCTCGTTCCTATTATCACCACTCGCGCGTTTTTCTTCGCGCGAATAAGGTTATCGCGTCGCGAAAGGTGCAACAATAATTCGCATTCGCGATCGAATTTTTGCGCGGTATTGCGCAAAAACGGTGATGTGTGCGAAGTAAGACATCGGGTGGTGAGAACGAAGAAGTGTCTCTCTTTCTTCGGGGGGATGGATGTTTTATGCATGAAAGCGATATCGAATATCTCATTAAGCTGATGAATCTTGCGTAATGTGGAATATGCAGCAGTAGCTCGGATTGTGACACATCGCTTTAAGCTGAAGATTTAATCCGGAGTTTTTTTATTGCGATGGATATTCTTTAATATTAAAAGAGTCTTGTGCAAGAATTTTCCGCAGATCTTTCAAAATCAGTTTCGCGCTCGATTTCTTTTTCGTAATCCCGGGAAATCCTCACACGCACGTTCTCGATATTTGAAAATATTTCTTTCTAAATGTTTTCATCCAAGAAAAAGAATTACGTCAATAATATTATTACGTGGTATAGGCGATGTTTTTTTGTCTTATAACCTAAATGAAATAGACTTAATAGAAGACAGGTATTTCAATAGCACCGTTCGCGCGTCATCATTGTCACTGTCACGCGGTTACGAAACTAATTTCTGATACCGCGCGCGTCAAACCAAGCGTCAGATTTCTTTACAAGCGGTTTATCCGAAGCGGTGTATGTATTTTTCCCAATAAAAACGTCCGAAATCAGAGATTACACTAACTTCTTTGTCCTCGCGCCGCTGAACTATTGTAGTGTAATACACTGGCGAAACGCGCACTTCCACGCGCACACGAGCGTGTTATTATGCATATTGTAATATTAACGATAAAAGTTGATCGCGATGTAATCGCCGTTAATGCGCAATGCATTGCCGTCGAGTTTCTATTTAGTGGGTAAATCGCATATATCAAGCTTGTTGTTTTTATTACAGTTGAAGGCATTTATGTAACCTGATACACATAACGGAAAGCCGCGCAAGCGCTATTGATTGGAAAGAAAGTCAATGAGCATTAATAAAAAAACAGTACATGAGTTGCTCACCAAGTGTAGCTAATTACAAAAAGGCACGTACAATTGTATGTATTACGCCTTTTATAGTTAAATTAACGATCAGACGACGAAAAAAAAACCGATGAATAAAAAGTGTGCGACAGGCAAATCAAAGAAACAAACATATTCAAATATAATTCAATCTGCATTATCTCGCGCGCGTCTTGGACAATTTCTCCAAAGAAAATAAAAGAAAACATTCGCGTACGTGATGCGGTACACGATCGCACATGTGCTATACTTACGCGTCCTTTCGCCGTTCGCGCGAAATATCCCGGATATCCCGTTAACATTGCACGCACGTCCCGAAGATCAAGGAAAGTCGTGGAAATTGCATTCGGAAAGTGAGCGCGATTGCGGTTAGACTTCCACGCATTAACGGGAAATTGAATCACCACATCTCAAGCAAGTGTCAGCAAGACGAACATTAAAGTCGGAGAAATGTAAACACACCGCAAGTCGGAAAGTTTCCTTCGAGGAACGTCCGTCCGTCTTCTCCCACGTCTTCTCGCGCTCATTGCGCAGATGTATTAAAATTTCTAATGTGAGAAAATTAAAATTTATACCGATGGATAATATCAGAACGTTATTTAGAATTGCGCGCGTTTCGTCTCTCTCTTTCAGAGACGAAATTATCTGTGTCGAGAGAAGATGTATGGAAATAGATACCAAGGTAACGCAATATAATGTTCATGCCATCTGCCTCATTGTGTGCCGTAAATTCTATTTTCCTTTTTGACGTATACGGAAATTAATATGTATTAGGACCTGTTTAACAAGAGAACGATATTCAACCGACAGTGTATAAAAGCAGCTGCTTACCAACGCTTTTGTGGTAGTTTTGACTCGCGATCACAAGGTGTCATATGAAACTTTAACATCAGTTTCTGCGTATTGTCTACACGTTGTTATTTTATCATTTTTATTTTTATTGTTATTTTATAATTATATTATTATTTTCGTGTAAGACTTTTAACTATGACTAAATACATGCGTATATCAATAACGACATTGTTGTTAATTTGCATGCGGAATAATTTATTTCAAAAGTATCATCTTTTTATGTGTACATCGCTCGAGATGCACTTGTACTTAATAGATCGAATCATAATTAATTAACAGTAATTGTGTGTGTTACAGTAAATAAAATAATTTTGGAACAGTATAATTTTTTTTTACTCAAAATTAAACAAAATAGAAACACAAAAAAACATAGCTTTACGTTTTTATTTCAGAGACATGCAGGGTCAGAATGGTCTCTGGATTGCAGGCTTCTTCATTGCGTCGCTTTTGCAGACGATAGTGATCGTAAGTGGTGATGATAACACGGCGAAAAAACAGACTACTTCGTCTCACGCAGGTACTTTGTTATTTTTGTTAGTTACTCTGTTTCCCTCGTACGGTAAACTTACTCGCAAAGATGACGTTTTTTAATTGTGGATTAACCTTACCAATAAATATATTTTTCTACCTGTCTACAGCGGCAGAAAAAATATTGTTATTTATCTAAAAACATCAGCTCTAACTTTCTACGTACGCAATTGTATCATAAATCAAATTTATAATTTACGTTTTAATAATATCTGATTCAGCAAGTAACCGATATAAAAATGTATACGATTAGTCAGCATGTAATGTATACCTCTCTTCAATCTTATGAAACATTCCAACTCACACACTTTGTTCAAACTTTCAAACCTTCATTAACACGATGTCATTTGCTTCTATATATTAGCTTAAACCTATGCAGAATCTCGGCCGCGGTAATAAAAAAAAAAAAATCTCTCATAAAGCAACACTTTGACGTAACTTCACCCAATTGATTTCAGGAACACATTGTTCCCGTCACTTTCGTTAACGTTCTTTTTTTTTTTTTTTTTTTTTTTTGATCTACTAATTTCGAGTCAACAATTCCGTCATTAACCAATCGTAAGTACACACGCAATTGCTTTTGAAAGTGATCTTTTTTGCGCGCTTGTCCTCTTATAATGTGTAAGTGTGTAAAGTTTTTTTTTTTACGTATTCGGGCACGTTAATCTTTTACGTAAGGTCGCGTGGATCAATACAGTCATCCGGTTTGAATAGGTTTTTGTATATTTTTTTATACATACATATACGTGTCTACTTTCCTGAATACCTATACAAAATTAATAATCGGAACGGAGACAAGTGGGTGCCGAGACCGCGCGCAACCGTGTACGCGATACATTTCTTGTGCAACAGGTGGGAGTTAATGGCAAGAAATGACTCGTGAGAGATAGAAAATGCTCGCGCGCGTGCACTGCTGGAATGCACGTTACGTTTTCGAGAGGGAAGGTCTAAGAAGCGGAATCGTGCATCGGGCAAACGAACGGCGAATGCTCGGGACCCAATCAAGGGTTCTCTATCTCTCTGCGAAATTGTTTAGCCGTGAAATGTATGCACGTAAAATTGCGTGTGCTAATTCGCTGTGCAATGTCGCGTAAACGTGTCTCGAGCATTCGCACGTAGCAACATTGTGGTGCGCTGGTTCAGTCACATATTCGTAACAGAACCAATCCGAAATTTTATATAAGCTCAAAAAATAAAATAGTATCCGTTAAAAATATCCACGTCTGTTAAATATATTTTTTATATTACGGAAGAGACGTAATTGATTTTCCTTAAGAGAAAGAAAAATGTACATATATACTGCGCGTCTACATACGCGGTCGGTTGTCACATAAAATATATGTTCACCATGTTTCGCGCAAATGTCGAACGGTAACATGTGTCGTTTTAACATTTAAGACAGTGTTGAAAGAAATATTGCGAAAGATAAAAACAGACCGCTCGGTGTTTCGCGATCGTGTATAACTCACGATTCATTATATACCGTTGCCGATTTACATTTCCTGAAGACTTTTTTTCCCTAAATCCGATTGGGCAATTTGACAAAAAGTCACCTTCAAGTCGAAGTTATATCAACGAGTTCACCGTGCATGACGGCGAACCGAATCCGTCTATTGTCGGTGTAACATTTAACATTGAAACAAAGATTCTCTCTCGCACACACGGATCTGCGAGATTTATGTATTGATTGATGACAGAGACATCGTCTCTCGGCAGCTGCGATCGTTGCCGGATTCGATGGCAATTGCGATAAACGAAAGGAAATCTCTTGTCGCAACGAGAATCAAGCGTCGCGGCGTATCGATACACTGTTTGTGCGAGATAAATCTCTGCTGTCGTGAATAAAACATTCAATGTTGCGTGGGAAAGTCGTAGCACGGTGCTCACTTTGGAAAAGTAAACGAGCAATTACCTCACAACTTTGATGACACTTGTTAATTACATATTGTGTAATTTTTTAATGTATAATTTATGTTAATATGTAATCTGACATTTGCCAAATATTTTATATTTCATGTAAATATAATTGTTATTAAAAAGGACGAGGAAAAACATCTTCGGATTTAGAGGAATCGGAAACTTCGTACTTCAGCACGATCGCAGCCCATAAACATCTCTTCAACACCTATCACCCAACTGTCACGTATTTTCCATCCTCGGTGAATTTTCCGAGTTCTCTGTAAGTCCGAGATAAATGATATGAAGCATATCTATTACATAAATAATGTCTGGAAATTATATATCGCGCGTTATGTGACAAATGCTCAATTTGTTTACTTGTGACATTTATTTGTTCAAAGCTTTCCATTTGGCCAAAACACGAGCGATGGCATTCATCAGCAAATTAAATGCGGAGACTCATTTCCTCGATTTTGTCAGCATTCGCGATATCGTAGTTACGACGGTTCTTGCAATAATCTTCAGAATCCCACGTGGGGTTTGGCCAACACGAGATACGGAAGACTCGTACATCCACGTTACAGCGATGGTGAGAATGTTTATTTAATTCTATGATAGTGTGCTTCTTTGCACATGTCAAAGAGCATATATTACCGGAACAAATTTAACGTAAAATATGAGATAGTGATTATTGAAAAAAATTTTGTTAGCAATTGCGTGAAAAAAAAAAGAAAACAATTTCTTAGATTCCAGTCGGAAGTAATTATAATTTGTGTGGATATATATAAGAACTGTTATTATACTTCAGCTGGAAGTTTACAAAACTTTCAGATGATAGCAAGAAAAGACTTGGACTGAATTACCGCTCGTGACACCAGATAATATCGATTCTCACTAGCTGCACCAACAGGTACCCTCGTTCGAAATGTTGTTACGGTCGACTTGATGATGCAAGAAGTACACAAGTGCGGAAAAGAACTTTAGCGTTCACTCTTTTTCGCCATTTTTATTACTTCGCAGCTAACCAAACCGCGATAACCGGATCAGAGACAATTTAATATAGCGATTTTATTTTGTAATATAAAAAAACGTTTTATATATTTGAGCATCTTGAGAATCGTTTCGTAATATGATAAAATGCTTTTTTTTTTTTTTTTGACGTTCAAGCTAAAATTCTAAAAATTTGTCACAGCTTCGGAGAAAGTTTCAACGCTTTGTTAAATCGAACAAATTGACGCTCATCGATTGTCACTTTCCAGTAGTAAATTTATTTTTCAACAGACCTCAAATTTTATATATATAGCAGTAGATTTCTCCAATATTCAATTTGACACACAATGATGCAAATATATGTTTATAGATTTTGCGCAGTAAAGCAGAACATGACGTAAACTTGGAACTGGTTTAAATCTAATTTTTTTTTATTGGCTCACCAACTCATGTAAGAAAGAGAAAGAAAAAGAGAGATAGAGAGCGGATACAAATACTTTCTAAAATTTCTACAAAATATGTGCGAGAAGTGCATGTGGACGCTCGCGCCGATTAAAATGACTCCTGTGCAACGATGATATCTTTGTGAAAAGATTCGATATTTTCAAGTCTCTTAAAAAAAACTTTAATTTAACGCAGGAATCCGAGCACCGTCGAGATCGATAACCGGTGCGGAATTGCCGTTGGCACGAGCCGTCAGCTACACGATGTTTCCGAACGTCGATATCGATGACAGAATGTGGACTTTGGTAACGATGCAATACGGACAGTTTATCACGCACGATATGGGTTTAATCGATGGAACGACTCAATCGAGTACGTGCGTCTCTTTTCTCGCGTTTCTCACGTATAAATTTTCTCTAATATAAATATATTTGTAAGTTCTTACAATATATTAAAAAAATTATCGTATCTTTTTCTTTTTACGATATATCGAGTTGTGCTCGAGCGATTTAATCTTTATGTAATCATAGAATCGCACGCCACGCGATGTTGCACCTTCAACGGTCGGCTGGTGCCGAATCACGAGGCAATGCCCCGATGCTTACCAATTCTCATACCTTACAACGACCCGGTGTACAGAAGTTCCATAGAGTGCATGAACTTTGTCCGTAGTACGACCGACCTTGATCGTGGATGTTCGTCTCCGAACAAGCCAGCGGAACAGGTTTCACACTCGCACATTCATCTGCAAAATTACATCACGCGCGGATGTGGTAACGAGTAAACTTAGAATGCAGTTGTCGATTATAGACTCTCGCGTGCTGTCTGTATTTATATATATATATATAAATACAGACAGCATATATAACATATATATATATACACATGTATATAGTCTTTGTAAAATTCACGCTGCCGTAGACAGCGGACTTGACCCCGACACAGTCTCAGGTGTTTATTTTTATCCGTGATTAGAATATTTTTTTGAACTGTCTTCTTGTTTTGTATATCGATACGATTTATTTTCGCGACATTTCTATAAGTAACAAATAATCAATCTAGTCAAATCTCTTTAACGCGCGGTGACTATTAACGTATTAAATTTGGACTCGATAGATACACAAATGTAAATTAGATATATTAATTCAGTTCAATGTATTTTTCAGTTCAACGTATTTTTTTTTTTTTTTACAGTTGAACACTGTCACGCATTACTTGGACCTTTCGCTCGTTTACGGTTCGAGTGACGAGATTGCGGCTAATCTGCGCACTGGTTCCGGTGGACGTTTGAATACAGAGTTGAAAAATAACAGGGAATTTCCACCATCGGCCCCGAACAAAACCGCCGTGTGTGATATGGTTTACGAATTCGAGCCGTGCTACGCTACCGGTGAGAAAGTAAAAAATGAAATACAAGTCACGCGATCTAATTTTCTAAAGAAGCGAATAATCGTTTTTGCGTAGAGAAAACCTGTCTGATTTGTGAAGAAATTACAAGAATCGAAAAGCAACGTAATAAAGTGTGTTTACAGGCGATTCGCGGGGCAATCAAAACCCGCAACTGACGGTTCTGCACATCATATTGCTCAGGGAACACAATCGCGTCGCCGATTACTTGGCGCAATTAAATCCTCACTGGACCGACGAGACGATATTTCAGGAAACGCGCCGAATTGTAATCGCCGAACATCAGAACATCGCGTATTACGAATGGCTGCCTATTTTGTTAGGTATTTATTTTTGAAGCGTAAAATAAATTCATGTAAATCGCAACGTTTTTGATAAAAATTATCATTACACAGGTACCAGACAAGTCTACGAGAACAAGATCTTGTACGATACCAAGAGTTACGTGAACGATTACGACGAAACGGTTACCGCCAACACTCTTAACGAGCATGCAAACGCAGCTTTTAGATATTTTCATTCGAATATCGCTGGCCAACTCAAGTAATTATCTTGCAAAACTGTTTTTTTTTTATTAACATCTCAAGAAAAAGCGATTTGTGCATGTGATAGTTATTTTAAAAATATAAAATCAAAGTAACAAATTCTTTTCTACAGTTTAGTGTCGGAACATCGACTCTACTCTCCTTTTTCTACATTGAGATTGAGCGATCACTTCAACAGACCTGCCGTTATAGAAAGAAACAACAATCTGGATGATTTGACGAGAGGTTTAACTTCTCAACAGCAAAAAATGACCGATCCGTTCTTCGACGAAGAGGTACTCGCGAAAACGACTAGGAGATATAAAATTTATTAACAAAATACTAAAGAATATTTTAAAAAATAAAAACTATTTTTGCGTCTTAGCGGTAAAGTGTATAAAATTATTATTTAGAACGTTTTTTTAAGAGTAAAAAAATGCGATCTTTGCTAAAAGCAAAGTGTTACTCAATTGTTCGCAGATTACACACTTTTTCTTCAAGAGAGGAAGAATCCTCGGATCAGATCTCAGGGCGATAGACGTACAGAGAGACCGAGATCACGGTCTCGCCAGCTATAACGATTACCGCGAATACTGCGGATTGCCGAGAGCAAAGACTTTCAACGACTTAGCTGACTACATAAGTTTTTCGGTGAGCAAGAGAAAAACGGTTAAAAAAAAAACAAACAAATAAAATTGATGTGTTTTTTATGCTACAAAATGTATAATTAATTCAATTTCTAGGACATACAAAAACTCTCCACTTTGTACGCCAGCCCGGAGGATATCGACTTGACTGTCGGCGGATCCCTGGAGAGACACGTGCCCGGAACGCTAAGTGGACCGACGTTCCTCTGCATCATGTTGAAACAGTTTCAGAAAACGCGAATCGGCGATCGTTACTGGTTCGAAACCGGCGATCCGAAAATAGCATTCACGCTCGGTATGTTATTATTTATTTCAATGTGTAACGAAATGACAAAAATAAAGATCTCTCGTAAATATCGCGTTTACAGAACAACTGAATGAATTACGAAAGTCGAGTATATCGCGACTGCTTTGCGATAACGGAGACAACATTCAGCACATGCAAAGATTGGGATTCGAGCGAATCTCTGAAACGTAAGTTTAACAACGATAATAAGTTTAATATTAACAATACATAGATTTATACATAGATTTAGAATTAAAAGCGACAACAATGATGCGCAACAGGTATAATCCAAATTTCAGGAATCCTCTCCGCAGATGCAATGAGCTCCCGCAAGTGGATCTCTCTCTCTGGAAAGATTTTGGTCCAGAGGCTCATGATCTGAGGTTTCAACACATTATCACACCGTTGTATAAAAAGAAATAGGTGAATTTATGCGAGCACTTCCGACGCGAGCTAAAAAGATCGACACGTATATTTTGCGAATAAAAACGGAAAATCTTGGAAAAGATAAAAAATTTAAAGGTTTTACTTGATAAATTCTGTCGTTTACAAACCAATTGAAAAAGCGCGTAACTTATTCTCTCAAAAAAATAAATTTAAATTATTATATGAATACATAAATATTTTATATTAAAACTACAACTAGTAATGCGCATACCGAACTGTAGTTTTTGATCGACATATTGCTAATAGATCATTTTTATACTGTACAAACACACTTATTAAATAAACAATGTTTTTTGTAAACTTGTTTTTCGTTCTTTGCGTAAATTTGACAAAAACCTGGTCGAACCGCTTCTTCCGAGTCTTGTCTAATTGCACTAGTATCTGGATTAAATAATTAAGATAAGTAAGATAATCCAGATAAATTCGGATTATTCAGATAATGCAGATAATTTAGTTAATTTAGATAACTTAGATAATTCACATAAGGATAAAAGTAAAGAATAAAGAAATATATATTCTTTGATTGAAGGATATAAAGGTTTATAGTTTTTTATTGAAAGTCATTAATTATACCTTATTATAAATCTCCATTATTAAGGTACGACAAGATACTTGATACTTGATGCTTTCATACAATTTAACGTTGTAAGCATAGATGAGAAACTCATACGCCAGTTATCGTACGTCAGGCCGGTACTCATAATCGAATCTTGTATTTAAGATCATCATGTGCGAGTAATCAAGAGGCACGGTAACGTAGGTGATTTACCGATGATGGAAGATCTGGATAGTTTTAGGTACGTTCTAGAGGAAAAAACGGCAGGGCCGAGTAATAAAAATATATATATAACTAATAAAGAAACTTAAGGATCTGAAGAAATAA